AATGTGAGTTGGGTTGTATGTTGAAAGTGTTGTTATAATGGCGTATTGTTAATGCTAATGTTGGCGTTAATAGGTTTTTGTTGATGTGGCCGTTAATTTTCGGCTGTTGATGTCATCCTTAAAATTGTTGTTATTGTTATTGTACGGTTACTTTGCTTGCTATGTGTGTTGATTTTTGGTGTTGTTGAATTTGTTGTTATAATAACTTACTTTTGTTGTTGTGTGTTGTTTTAACTGTTAATAAATTGATTTGGTAAACGGTTTTGTTGCCACTTACCAGAGAAACTCACACAAGCCCCAAAAATATTAGCAACAATAACTATCATTGCCATCTTTATCATCAACATCATCAGAGCAATCACCTTCGTCGTCTTTATCATCGTCACCATCATCATCATCATTATCACGGTTATCATCATCATCATTACACCACATCACATAACATCACAATCATGAATGTGATAATTGTTCGAACAATTATTTTCAGGCAAGCCAATGTAAATAGACATCAACCGAAGCGAAGTGTAAACAATAATAAAAATAAACAATGTACAATGAACACACGTCGTGGTGTCTGTCTTTCTCTTTGTTTGTCCGTATGCCTCTAATGTTCGTCCGTTTGTTTCTTATGTTTGTCTGTTTGTCTTTAATGTTCGTCCGTATGTTTCTAATGTTCGTCCGTCTGCCTCTAATGTTCGTCCGTATGTCTCTAATGTTCGTCCGTTTGTCTCTAATGTTCGTTCGTTTGTCCTTAATGTTCGTCTTTCTATGCATGCAAACAACGCTTGCCCGTTTGATAATCAAAACAAATTGCTCTATCAAAACAAAGTTGATCTTCTTAATATACACAGTCACACATTATTAATACACACACAGTCACACACACACTCGCACAAACACAACCACTAGTGCTATTTATAGATGAATTTCAATAATAATAATAATATTCATATGGCCATTCGTATATATGCTCTTAATAAAACATAAGAATACGCTTGATAAAGTTCCCAAAATCACATCAATGATTACACAAACAAATTTGACATAAATACATTCATGCATCTGGAAAAACGCTTGCACGCATAAATAACGGAAAATGTACAAAGCTTCCACTGCTTGCGACCAATTCCAAACAGGCATATGGTTCAAGACCAGATGACGCAGCTGTTTGGGTCGCAAGTTGTTTTTCAGATAGTTTAAACTGACTATTAGAAGGGGGGCATGTGATTGTATATGTGAGGAGACGAAAGTAGAGATTTTGGATTTGCACAGTTAGTTATGTTTTTAGAGTTCAGGAAGAAGAGTCAATCAAAAAACTTAAATCTCGATTTTAACAAAACTGCCGATCAGATGGATGATAAAAACTGCAGACCTGAGAGTTCACAAATGTTCTTCAGACCCAACAACTCATACTGCTGGCGTGAGAGTAACATTTAACATTCCCCCACGTTGTGGCTTGAAGAAACGTTTTTAGCTTCGGCGGAAGTAAGGTCCGCTGCAAGGAAGGCCTTGGATCAAATTAATAAAATGCCATCCAATTTATGATCTCTGAAGACTTTTGAGTATCAGAATCTGTCAGGATGAAAACTTTTAGTTCCACGAACAAACGCAATCACATCTCAACCTGTCAAATGACGACGACGAACCGCTCGTAAAACTACATTTTGTTACAAAAATTTAACGCATTTGGTATTTTAAAATTTCATCTTGTTAACATTGAGATAATTTGGAAACCAAAAATTGATTATTAGCACATTGACCCTGGTAGCATTTATCAACAATGAGTTATACAAATATGTAATTACATGTACAGACGCAGACAGACAAGTACTTACACATGTACAGACAAGTATTTACGTACACGTGTGCATAAATTACATGCATGCATCCATTACAAACAATTCATTCTTTCACTTTAACAAATTCGTTAAAGTGAAAGAAAAACCAAAAGTGAAAGTATCCCACCCACCACCACATTCGCTATGATGATACGTCATCATTCCACACACGTCATAATGATGCATTACTACGGGCGGAACGTTAACTGGGATGCACGCACACGTGTCGAGCGATCGTTGGGCGTGTTCTTAGACGGGAATCTGCTTACATTCAACTATTCATCACACACACACACACACACCACATCACACCACACACGCATTTCTACGATTACACATAATGACAAATGCACACAGGCTCGTGCGTAATCATACAGACCCAGCACACAAACGCGTACAACCTCGTATAGACTTATCCAAATCCTCCTATACAAACTATTGTTTGTAAGAACTTTTACAAAAAAAACACATACAAATCATTACGCAATCATACAAACAAAGGCAAAATCATAGACACCACTGCTCATACAAAAAAAGCACATTCACGCTTGTACATAGTCATTTGAATCCTTGCACATAAAAACAAATGCACATACTGTATCACACAGGATCATGAAGAAATTGCTCAATGTTCATACATTCAAACCTGCACACGCGCATCAGCAAATACACAGGTTCAAAAAGCAAAACACGTATAGTCACACCACACAATTTTTCCTTCTCAAAATAATTGTGAAGAGAGTACGTTACGTTCACAAAATGTCGCGCTATGGTGACTATTTATTTTCCTGATTACGCAAACACAGATGTTTTTGTTTCACTGAATATATTTTCCCTCACACTGAAACAATTGAAACAAGTGTGATGAATGTATATCAAGAATATTAGCAGACATAGTTTACTTCAGCAATTTTAACAATGGCATCATACTCTTTAATTAACATAACGAACATTAAGAATACAAGAATTAATATCGGCGAAAAACTTTGTGACATTTTTTCAAAAAACGGTTATGTTGATTAAAACTTGAATATAAATTTAACTTCAATAAAAGTAACAAAATAAAATAATCAGAATAAAAACATAAGAAATTTTGTTCAATTTATTTGAACAGTTTTTGATTCAAACAAAATTTCTTTATATAATGGTCCAATGTTTGCCGTTTAGAAATGAAAGGCTGAAAAGGTCTACGCGTCATTCTTTACCGCGCGAGCCGGCTGATCATCAACAGTTGATGAATTGCTTTATTGCGCTAGCAGCAGATTGCAAAAACGTCATCCATCTAACGTTACGATCTCTTTGAAACTTGAGAATCCTACGTTCAACCCCTTCTTTTTATTATTGTTTGTGGATGTCTTTGTAGTGTAAATTTTTGTGTTTGTACGCGTCTCTAGGTGTTTATATATATATATATATATATATATATATATACATATATATATATATTTTTTTACAATATTCTATAAATTCTACCGAATGTTTGGTTAATATGTTTGTAGTTCGTTTTTTCGATTTTTCTCACTAAAGTTTTTTGGTGAACGTTTAGTTTATTAAAATTCAAATTAAACTTATTTTTCGAATTCATGCTGCAAATAAGGCCATATTTCGATTCCAAATGAGTCATCATCAGTGCTCCTTGCTGTATATATAGGGAAATATTGACTTTCAATATTTCATACCGCGACACTCCTTCGTCATGCTAGTTGCCCTCATTTGTCTGTATAAGCCTCAAGCATATCTGTCCTTTTGTAAATCTGGATTCCAAAGCTGAACACAGTTCTCACATATTTCGCATATTAATGCACATGTGAAATATTAGCTGAAATCACTTTTCGATTCATATAGATATGAACATTTAAATGAATTGAAAACTTATCGCAGCGGTACGAAGACCCCAGCATATCGCATATTAAATACATTTCAATAAATTTTAGTGAACTTCAGTTTAATCGATCACATACTGCTGCATACTAGCTCTCGGCGATGTACTTCATGCTGGTTTTAAAAAACATCATAAATAAACACTGCCCTTTCCTGTCGGGATTTTCTCAACTTCAAGTTATTTCTTCAATTTCATGGTACAAACATACCTTAATTAATGAGAAAACCTTTAACAAATGGGGATAATAAAAACAAGTTGGGAAAAATTCGGTCGGTGATTGACAAAAATTTGACACAACGCCTTGAATTATTGTGAGTTGCGAATTAAAAACATGGTCTTCTGTTTGATGATAAACATGTTAATGTAAAATAAATATTTCATTTAATTATTTTCATAAAATTATATTTCGCAAAAACGAATCTTTTCATCCTGAATATCATATTTAATTTAAATACTATATTCCGATAAATTTTGCTTTACTAATAACACCACCACACGCGCCTGATTACACTCAATCGTTAGCTTCGCAATTGCACATCCACCCTGAGTACAACCATAGACTATAATATCTATTATTTAGGAGACCATGGTACAACATTGTCTAACTTGTACACAAAAAAACAACGTTATCTTTGACGCTTTCGTTTCGGCGTAGAAATATTTCAACAAAAGACAAATTAGTTCGCGAATTTAAAGTACAAAACTTTAATATAGACAGTTAATCTTGTGACAAAACAATATTCATTTTATCCGTCGTTACGATTAATTCAGCGTAATTTATCCATAGATGTTTCTCATACACCCTACCAGAAGTCACGAAGTACGTGTCTATTCATCTAAAATAAATAAATAAATTTATTCTTTTTTTTCTCAACGCTTTGTTTGGAAATTAAAAGGCGACGATGAAAAAATAAACAATTTATGAAAAATAATGTTCTTATTGTCATCGTGTCACACACTCACTCACACACACACGCAAACACACACACACACACACACACACACATATATATATAGGGTTATCAATAATTGCGTATATATCTATAAACGTATAAAATGTAAGCATGGGCTACACTGTTGAAAACATATGGTTGGGTGGGTGTTTTTGAAATTATTTTTAGGTAAAACAAACAATGAACAAACAAACAAACAAACAAATAATAAAACTCGCATAAAATCATTTTGTTCAGTGCAAGAATACTGCCAAAATTATTGAAATTAAATTTTGCTAAACCAAAGGTCATCTATGAGTTGTTACTAAAAATATTTACATACAAAACATGCAACACGACTGGTCTAACCAGCAACGCGCATATTTTTTTCCAAATTGCGTGAAGAGATTGCGGTCAACAACGAGTTACATTCGTGAAGTTCTTGTGTCACTTGTGGATTATCAACAGGTTTTAACCACAACAAAATGTCCTGAAAGTATAAGGCCACAAAAAAGGAGCAGAAGAATTTTTTTATAAAATATAATTTGTTAGTTTGGTTGTAAGATGGCTGTCATTCTTGTGTGAGCCCTGACTGAAAGTTAATTCTAGTCATTTTAAATCATTCTTTGCTTTCTGAAGTAATACTTGAAAAGCCTTAACTATATATGTGTGTGAGTGTGTAAATAAATATATACTATTGTAATACTATGAACCATATTATTCCTAAATTATTAAACACAAATCTAACTAGTTGGGATGTAACCGAAATTATTTAGAAACATCAATAAGTAAACATGAAAAATAGTTGGTTGGCGTATGTGAGCATTCATGAACAGTCTTCCGTATACAAAAATTACTAAAAAATTTCAATTATCCACTCGCAATGCAACAATAGAAAAAAAACAATAAAATAATTTTCGTTTGTACAGACACGATATGGCGAGTTAGAGGGAACAAAGGAATTATCACAATTGAATTATTGAATGTGTTCTTGCACAATAACACTCACACGTATGAGACAAACACGAGACACAACTTACACAAGGTCACAGATATAAAAGACAAGACCACAAAGATAAAGAAGCACCAGAACGAACACAAAAAAATGTCTTTTCCTCTACCTCTCTTTATATATATATATATATATATATATATATATATATATATATATATATATATATAATATATCATCATCAGGCATCATATCATCAATAGATGTGGAATCTCTTTTCACTAACGTTCCTGTTGATGCCACAATAGATAATATTTTAAACTATGTATATAATAGTGCTATGAATCCACTAAAAATTAAACCTCATCTGCTAAAACAGTTACTTCAAATCTGCACAAAAGAAGCTCCTTTCTACACTCCTGATGGATAAATGTATCAGCAGGTCAGTGGTGTAGCCATGGGCTCCCCTTTAGGAGTGATGTTTGCAAACTTCTACATGGGATATTTAGAAGAAATTGTATTCCAAAAGAAACCACATCTCAAACCCGAAATGTATGTAAGATATGTTGATGATACGTTCATTATAGTAGAAAATGAAAACAACTTGATGGACCTAATTGATGAATTTAAATCCAACTCAGTTCTTTCCTTTACCCATGAAATTGAAAATAATAAACAGCTACCATTTTTGGATGTCCTGATAACCACAAATGACATTGGTTTTCAAACGCAAGTTTATGTAAAAGACACCAATTTGGGATTTTGTCTTAATTGTAAAAGCGAGACCTCAGAACAATATAAAAATAGTGTTATATTTTCTTTAGTTAACAGAGCGTTTCAACATTGCTCTGATTATATACTCATCAACTCAGAATTATTAAGAATAAAAAAACTTCTCGTGAACAATAATTACTCTTTAAAACAAATTGATCAAGTCATAAATAGATTAACCAAAAATATCATGAAAATGCACAAAATATACATCAAAATAATGCAATTACCAACAACGTTCCAAACAACAATGAACAGGAAGATAATGGCAACCCCTCTACCACGTATAATAACTTTGATAATAACAGCATCACAAGCCTCACCACAAACAGTAATAACAATAACAACAACAATAACAACAACAGCAACAGCAACAACAACAGCCGTATCATTAGAAACCAAATCAACAAAAAAATGAATGACAAAAATAAGATAATATTTTATTACAAAAATACCTTTACAATGGCGTATAAAGAAGATGAAAGAATTTTAAAAGGAATAATACGCAGAAACGTAGTAGCGTCAAATCCAATTAATAAAGTTGTTCTTCGAATTTACTATCAAAATTTAAAAACATCCCAACTAATCATGAAAAATAATTGCCTTCCTGCAACTACTCAACTACAACAAAGTCATTTTATCTACATAACAATACATACCAGAATACTAGAAGCACATACGACCATGCACACTCGACACACAATCACACACACTCACACAGACACAAAAAACACAAATGTACTATTGTGTTCAATCATATCAAAACGCCCGCAAAATAAATAACTTATTTTAAAATCTTCAATTTTTTAAACATCGGGTTCGTCCGCTTGCTAAATATTTTCGAATGTCACATAGATTTACAGACAACAACAAACACACATGCAAACACACTCACACACTCTTTCTTAGACATACAAGTAAGCACACGTATTTTCCTGCTCTTTAACACACACACACACACACGCATGCATTATTTCAACGCTGAAATTTTTAATTCTTTTTAATAAACGTACAAAAAATTTTAAATTAAAAGGCAAACAAGTCAAACAATTATGATGTACCTATGTGAATGTGTGTGTATATTTGAAAATTTGGCGATTGATAACAAAAAACGTTCCAGTTCTGAGTTTTTCCTTAAGTGAAGGTTAAAACAAAAAATATTTCTATATGTGTTTGTGTACATGTGTGTCCATTAATTCGTTGTAGCAGATGAATATTGACGTAAAACAATGGAACATATTGAAGGCATACCTGTAGTGGAATGACAGGTATCAAATAACTTCACCATCTTGCGCATCAAAGTGCCATTCCATCTAGGAGAGAATTGAACGCAGAACCACAAATTTATTCAACAAATAACACTCTATATCAACTAAATATAGAACAATATCTATCGCAATGTTATCCACGTATCGAAAATTTTTTCCAACTGTCACCTGCCGCATAATAATATAATGATTTTGTAAGATATAATGATTTATTTGTGTTTATAGTAAATAAATTTTGACCACATCGTACTCCATCTGCTGTTGATCTCATAATTTATAGGTCACTCAGTTGCCTTCAACATTTTTGTGTCAACTTTTGTATAAATCTAAGTGAGCCTTCACCTGATTCCTTTGCGGTCTCAAACCTCTTTTCAATAAACTCATCTCGGCCCGTGTACTGCAGTGACATATTCATCCAAATCATTTTTCTCGTTCCTTTGCTTCCATGAACCTCTCATATCTCTCGTACCCTTTCAAGCCTCAAACGATGTGACCTGTTATCATTTATTTTACACTCTCTAGTTAACCTCGCTTTAAGCGGACGCTACAATCAAATTTAATTTATTATTTAACTGTTTCAATTTTTATTTTTTAATATTCAATTTAAAACACGAAACCAGTTGAAAGTAAACAATTAATAAAGTTTTTTATTATTAACAAAATTTAAAAACATCCCAACTAATCATGAAAAATAATTGCCTTCCTGCAACTATTCAACTACAACAAAGTCATCTAATATATGAATATAAATGCTCCGTCGGTGAATGTTCGCACCGCAACAATGCTTCATATATTGGAATGACAACTACCACATTGTCAAGACGTTTGACCATGCATCTACAAGATGGAGCAATTAAACAACATTATCAACAACAGCATAACATCACTTTAACACGACAAATGTTAAATAACACGCAAATAGTTTATTGCAATAACAACATCACAAACCTGAAAATCGCTGAATCAATTTTCATACAAAACAAAAATCCCTCCATGAACATTCAAGTACAGTCTAACAACATTCTACCTTCAAATAGACTACTAAATAAAAACAACAATCATTATAATTATAACAACAATTACGACAACAGCAATAATTATAACAATGTTATCACCAACAATATTGATGATGTAAACAACAATCATACCAATAGCAACAACCTTAACAACAACATCAACAACATCAACAACACCAACAACAACATCAACAACAACAATAACAGCAACAACAACAGTGCCAACACTGTAGATACCAATGCTACAACCCACAGCGCCAATATCAGTTGCAATTGGAACATCATCAATAGTGACAACCCTAACAACAACATCAACAACACCACCAACAACATCAACAACAACAACAACAGCATCAACAATAACAACAACAACAGTGCCAACACTGTAGATACCAACGCCACAACCCACAGCGCAAATATCACTTGCAAATGGAACATCATCACAAGAAGCAAGAAGAACCACAGCGATGATAATAATAATAATAACGTTAACAATAATAATAATAATAGCGTTTTTAAATATTGTAAAAATAATATTAATAATATGTAGTTAATTAAATAAATTAATTCGCGCTTCTCGGCTGAGCGTTGATATTTACCTTAACAACCATAATATAAACAATCTTGTTAAAAATTTTAAAAATCGCGTTTTATATTGTTTATAGTTATTAAATTTATTTTTTTGGTTTTCTGTTTTGATTAAATAATTTATATAAATTAATATTTACTTGTTCCTTCTTATCACATATCTTACTTATCTTATATATAATGCACTGAAGATGAGTTATCTATAACTCGAAATAGCTATTTGCAAATTTATTTAATAAAAATTTAAAAAAACAATAAAATGTATAATTTCTCTGAAATTAATAAAATAAAAAGAAATATAAAAAAGTTGAACAATGTTGAAAGTAGTGTTGAATTTTTGAAATATATATATATATATATATATATATCATCTCGTTGACACATCCTACCTGTTTGTCCTTCAACTTCATTCACCACCACCTTGTAATATATATATATATATATATATATATATATATATATATATATATATATATATATATATATATATTACAAGCATTTCGCAAAACAACATAAACCCGCAAGCATAAATTTTTAAGTTATTTTTATTCGCATTTTGAGTATTTTCAGATAAATGTAAACAGTGAGTTAAACATTGAAAATATCAGCGGCGATGGGATTTGTTACTGTTTTTCCAGTGTTTGTAGTCACTGTTTGTTTGATCAATGGAAAATTTTTAAAAAATAAACTTGGTGAGATAGCGGTCTGCTGTCAGGATTCAAGTAACGCTACCACCCAGTTCATCGATGCCGATGTTAGTGCACCAGTTTATACTCATTTTTTTAAATTTTTATTTCTCATTTGTAAATTATTATTTCAAATAATTTTAAATTAAAGTATATAAGTGCAAAAATGGAAATTTTAAAGGTTGCATGTCAGGGCCCCGCCAGATGTGCATGGATGTGTCAACGAGATCCTACCTGTTTGTCCTTCAACTTCATTCACCACCACCTTGATCCTTCTCTGAACTCCAACCTCATTGAATGCAACTTTTTTGTCGCCAGATGTTACAGCGTGCTGCCTCTTCAAAACTGCTCACATTTTCAGGTTGGCTTTGTTTCAGTCATTTAATCTGACTACATCTTACAAACTAATGTTCAATTTTCTATCTCGTGATATTTAACAGAAACCAGGTGTTACTGTTCTTTCTGAAAGCGGTTAGTAAACTTTATTCCATAATAATTTTAATTACACATTTGCGTTAAATTATTGAATTATATGCAAATAAACAAAACATCGCTTTCAAATTTAGAAAAATAATCAGATAACTAATAATGATTGTTAATGCAAATTTCTCTGATATTTACAAAAGTTAATAAGAATAAAAATTTGGATGCCCTGAATGAATAAAGTTAAAAAAAAGTTTTTAATAAATTTAACAACCACTAGTTTTATTAAAAAAATTTAAATTTTGATTTAAATAAAATTTTCCAAAGAATTAAAAAGTATTGTTTGGATGAATAAATAATAGTTTTGCCATGATAATTTTATTTTAAGTAAATTTTTTATTCATTCCTACGCTCGGTAATTTTTAGACCTGATCTACAACTACAAACAAAACATTTCGTCTATATTTTGCAGTAAAATTACGCAGATAAAAGCATTATTAAAATTTTCCCTTCAGACCTATCAACGCTTATATCGACAACAGATTCTTGACATCTCTAACTATCACATTCACATATAAAAGGCAAGATTTTTTTATTCAAGCCAGTCGATGCAGCGCTAGACCTGACGCCTCAACCGCCACGCCACCCCATCTAACCTGGAACAAAAATAAATTTTTAAACGGGCGTCAAATTGAATGCTATGATGGTTTTTTGATCTTCAATAATGAACTACACTATTGATGATTGCAATAAAATGATTGAAATTAAATTTATTTATATTCGCTCCCGCTGACTGGAATTTTCAGTTAACCTACAATTGAAAGCTCTTCTGTAAGCAAGTACAAATGCAAAAATCGCAGTAAAATAGCCAACCATTTAAAAATAACTGGAACTGATAATTCGCACTTAATCATAACCAATCTTAATAAAATAATCATCAGAAAAAAAGCTATCGTGTTCACTTCCATACACTTTCAACGGATCTCGTGTTAATGACTGCAAAGCAAATTCGACATGTCTAAACGGGAATGGAGTTAGCATACTGTGCTCTGAAGCTATTTCAGGTGGTAAGTTTTTATATTCTAAATATTTGCGAAAGTGGTTAAGTTACAACTTTATAAATTATTGTTATATAAATTATAAATAATTATATAAATAATTGTTACAACTTTTAGTGAATACATCCTTTGTTCCGATCAATCTTCTGGTTAGAAATGTGACCACCAATAGAACGATGGTGGTGCCAGCATTTACGAAAGCAGGATGGCTGGTCATACATCAGGCCAACGTCTCATCCGTGGAAAGTTTCAAGAAGTCCTGGGACCAATACAAATACGGATTTGGAAACCTGAATGAAGTACAAAATTTTAATTATGCTTTTTATGATTTTGTATTTTGTTATTGGACGATTTTCAATGTTAAAAAAATAGATGCAAATTCATGATGTTATAGGACGAAAGAGAGTAGTAGTAGTATTCACCTCACTATCATCCTTTAGATCTGGAAACTAAACTGACAAACTCTAACAGTGGACAGATAAAAGTTAGGCATAAATTACGATCAAATTTCCCAAAAGATTTTTTTATTCGACCAAGCATTTAATTTGCTCTCTTTGGTGCTGTGATGACTTGATTTTTCCATCTTAAGTTATTTGAATAAATCACTCCAAGATCTCTCTCGGATTCAGATTCAGCAAGAAGTATTCCATTTATATACAGTAGACATTTTTATTAACTGGTCCGTAGTGTATAACAGTGCATTTTCAATATTGAACCGTGGAAGCCAGTCTTGCGTCCATTTAAATGCCTCATTAAAATCAGATTGAAGTTCGACAACATCGCTATCTGACGTTATTGCTCTCATTTTGGTATCATCTGCAAACAGTTTTGTTGTATTTTTCAGATTAATTGGTAATTTTTTTCCACTGAAATGTTTTCAAAATTTTGTAAAATTGCGAAAAAGTTTTAAAATTTGAGGTTTTTAGTGGCAGACGGAAAAATTGTTTTAAAAAGCAAAAATGGATCTTCTGAACAAACTGTAAATGAAAATCTCAGATTGGAAAAAATTGCACAAAGTAGTGTCAAAAATCATTTGTTCACATAGTTGGTTTCAAAAAATTTATCTTTATCCATATAATTGTATAAGTTTTTAATTTCAGATCAAATAAGTTGATGCACTTTCATTGTTAGGCAATCAAATTATGTTGAAAATATGAGTATCAATTTGACGCTTATTTTTGTGGTATATTTGCAAACAAGGGCAACTACTGGCTGGGAAACGACTACGTCAGTCAGATGACATGGATGATGCCCAACGTAACCTGGCGTCTGCACGTCAGCGTCCAAGCATCTGCCAACAAGAAGTTCTACTCCACTGAGTACTGGAGGTTCAGAATTAAGAGTGAGAAAGAATTGTACGCCATTGAACTGGCAGGCAATGTGCCAAGAGATGCTGGTGATGCTTTCAATAATGTCACTTACCCGACATGGATAACAAACTTTAGACCATTTTTAACATTCGATCGGAAAAACGACGCATGTTTCAACTGCACATGCGCCGGTTTATCTGGTTGGTGGTACAACGTTTGTGGTGTCAGCTCGTTGACGAAAAATCCACAGGACTGGGGAACGCTTCAAAAAGCCACTTCGTCTGCCAATTACTCCGTCATCTATTCTACCATGATGATTATGATTAATTAGTGTGAAACTTTTTCTAGAACATATTTTTATGTAATATAATAGTTATTATTAGTTTATTAAAAATTAAAAAAAATAGAACATTATTAAAAACTATTATTTGTTTAATTCACAATGAAATTTTTACTTTTATTATAATTTTAATTTCTGTAATCATTATCTTAGAAAATTTATTTTAATGAAAAATCCGCAAACTAAAAAGTCTGTGCTAGTTTCATTAAAAGGGAGCTTTCTGCAAAATGTTTACATTGAATGACATTATCCAATAAAACACATAAATTATCGAAATTGCATAACAGTTTACATAACTTTATTAACAATAGCATGATAAACTTTAAAAAACTTTTATTTGAAATTTCATTTCAAACTCTATGTGTTAAAATCAGCTCATATAAACCGAATAAAACTGTTGTTTTTTTCTATTCTATTCTATATCGCATTTGCATTTAACTTAAATGGATAGACACATAGTGCAACAATCTATACTTGGAAAAAATAGCCTATACCTGGTCTAGCCTTAGAATAGAGTACTTGTGGATATTTTAATTATTAATTAAAAAGGTAAAAAATTTCACGCTTTTTGTGTTTTTTGCTTCAATCCTCTTCTTTTAAAAATTTGTGTGGAGTGTGTCAGAATTCTTTTGACACTCTTGAAAGTTATCATTACACTGCTAATAATTTAAAGAGTTTTGCATATTACATCAAATAATGATTGACACACACAAATCAAGTGCATCTAACAGCGTTGAATCAAAATAACCTCATGAATAAAATCGTAACAGTATAGGATACAAGCTGTCTTCAAACGCAAACAATCGCATACAAATTCACTAATTGATAACATCACAAAAAATTGGAATACTGCTTATTCAATTAAATTTTTCAATAATATTAACTAATTATATAGCAATAAATTATGGATCATTTTCCATTACGGACATGGAGAGTTCATATTGTTATATCCACCGAAATGGTTGAATTACGCTATATAATTAATAATTGCGTTATCTTGTAATATCTGTTATCTTTGCAATTTGTCATCAATTGTAAACCATGGAATCTTTCCATACCATAGAGGATTCAAAAAGTCTACTGTAGAGGCTATATAAGGATTTGTGAATAGTGCGGTTAAATGAGAGGCATGAAGCGAAGTCATAGAGGTGATTTATGTAGTTACTTGGATTAGTTTAGTGTTTCTATTACTTTTGGCATTCGAACAAACGTTCAACCATGTTTGTGTTTAAAGTAGTTGTGTTCATCTATCCGAAATCTTGAACCTACTAAATAACGAGCACTTGACGATCGTTGGAAGCTACAACACTGGTGTTGGAAATATAGAAACCTTTGAAGTTATAACATTGGTGTCTGTAGTAACAAGCGTTTAAAGTGTTATAACAAAGTGTTATAACAATGTTATTATAAAACAGAAACAGAGGAAATTGCAAGTTTTTGTGTGTTTGTCTACGTGTTTTGCATCATGATTCTTAAAAAGCCGTTGCTACCACAAACCAGTAGAACTTCTAATTGACCTCACTTTTTTCGGCTCAAATAATTGTGTTTTGTAGACTATTTGATAATTTATTTTGGCCACAACCACTGAAGAAAATCAGGGATAGCCCAATAAATGATTTTCACAGGCACGGCTTTCAAGTGATCCTTGAACAGAGGCACAAAATGTATCATGTGGAAGCATCACGTACAAAAAAGTTCTAACTGCTGGCTAATGTGAGGCTGACAAACAAATCTTAAAAATTTATTGGTCTATAAAAATTACAGTATTTTTCTGCTCATATTTTGTTGCTGATTTTTATTATTTTGAACGGTTTTAACTAAGAATAACAGAAATTGATCAAGATTTTTATTAGTTAATTGGAGTAATTTTTTATCTAACCTTTCTGTAAAAAAAAGAGAAAAACGGATGTCACATTAGCTCTTCACCTTTTTTCCTTTGTCACTCATACTGCCATAAATTTGGCGACCCACCCTTTACTCCAAACGTGGCACCTTCCATAGACAGCCCCTAGCACCATTTGTTGACGACTAAAGAGAAGTTTAGTTCAAAATTACATTATTTGCTGTTGTGACGAAAATATCAACAACCCCAGTAGAGGCAATTAATAACAAAGCATGAAGGTAATTATTATCAAAAAGGTCGTAACAAAACAACAGAAAAATTATTGAATGTAGACATCAGAGTTGGCCAGTTCTACTTTATTAATTATAATAAAACCAACAAAAAAAATGTTCATTAGCGTCTGGTAGGAAAGGCATAGAACACACATACCAATACCATGGCATTGTTTGTGCGTCTCCATTCATGCGCAAATATTGATGTACGTCGGGGCTTTCATCAAATGGAAAAGGTAAGAAGTTGTATTGATTATTTTGGAAATGAAAAGAAGCTGAAATGAGGAACGTCTTATCTGTCTGCAATAATGTGATTGTGTCTATTCGTTTCTTTGTTGGGAAGTTTTATAAAGACAAATGAAAAGCGTTTTAGTTAATATCTTCGTTATTGATTTTATCAGTGCAATACATCGTTCTATGGAAAACTGCTAATTTGTCCAGTTTTCATTAAGTTCAAATAATAGTTATTTTATAATTTTAAAGAGTTTTATAAATTTAATAATCAATATTGAATTAAATTAATTAATTAATTTATTTGTTTTGTTTAATATATCATTATAATTTTAATATTAAATTTTAAATTAATTTATTTCAGTAAAAGTTTTTTTTGAAAGTTTTCAAATAAACCTAAATCATACAAAATAAAAATTAGGCATTTTTTTTGTATTTGATGATTTGTACAGCGCTTCTTATGAAGAACCTCAGAGGCTAATGTTAAAATATATAATTATTGTATATACGTACATCTAAATAAATATATATATATACATATAGTTATTAACGTGTATATATATATATACACACACACATACATACACACACACACACACACACACAGATATATATATATATATATATATATATATATATATATATTGCACACATATATTGAATTTATTTATTTATTTATATATTTATATACATATATGTATACATATAATTATTAACGTGTATATGTATATATGTATATATTCATTTATTCATTCATTCATGTATATATATATTTTTACAATATTCTATAAATTCTACCGAATGTGTG